TTTTAAACAAGCCCCAAATCAAATAAATAAGTAGCACAAATAAAATAAATCTCTTCATATCAACAAAATAAGGCTTTGTCTGTGCTCTTTCCATTTAAAATTAGAGGCAACCACTGCATTTTAATCTTGATCCAAACAAAGATGCTGCATACATGCAACATGAGCAGTTTTTAATCTAAATTAGATTGTATAATTTCGAAATTTGAAGCAAAAACAGAATGGTTTGACTTCAGTTTTGTGAAACTATACATAAAAATATCTGCATGAAACAGAAACAGCAGACAAGCTGAATGAGATGCAGATTCACTCTCTGCCAGCAGGTGGCGCTTAAAGCGTTTCCGCTGTAAACAAAGAAGCGCTGCACATATGAACTAGATGCAAGATGAAAAGAAAAAATACCATCTAAACTTTTCTAAAGACAGTAAGTTCCCCTCAGACATACATTCATATAAACTCCTACCACCAATTGATTTGTTTAGCATCTCAACCGATTTGAATCGTCACATATTTGAATCGATTTTCAACCGGCTCGCGGTTAATCGTTACATCCCTAGTAAGCAAGTGATGCAATGACAAATTTCGATGAAGAAACAAACTCATCCACATCCTGGATGGCCTGAGGGTGAGTAAATGTTCAGCAAATGTTCATTTCAGGGTGAACTATTCCTTTAAGAGAAAGTCTCAGTCTGTTTATATTCTAACAGGGCCTTGCAAAAGCACAAAAAAATGATTTTCTGCCACATTTCTCCCCACCAATTAATTCTGTATTGCCAGATTTATTACTCATATGTTACAATAATTTTTAGAACATTCAAAAAGAATGGAATTTGGTGCCATGGAATTTTCTGTCAAGCTTGTGGTTGCATGTTTCTAAGTAACCCTACGTAGACATCTGCCCATGTGACAGGGTTATGAACTCTCCAGGTGTTGTGCACCTCCCACCATAAAATCCCTCCTTAAAATGCCTAAAGTCTAAGTGGAATGTATTTTAAGAGCAATCACTGTCAGTGGTTAACAGCTACATATTTAAACCATTTATCTTTCTCCTAAATGTGGGAAATTACCCTAACACCTTCCCTTTCAGTGAGTCTGAGAGACTCACCCGTGAGTCTGCGTGAAAACGGTCTAGTATTAGAATGCAGATCATTCTCAACTTACTTTATCCTTCTGCAGTTAACACAACCAAAAGAGAACTACAGTACAAGAGAACTAAAGTAAGTTCTAAACCAATTTAATTAGCAGACATCCTAATCCAATAAAGCTGAAATAATGCAGTACTTTAAGGGGGGTCTGATTTAATGGGAGTTTAACGTCTCAAACAGCTCACTTTTGAGTGCCAGGTACTTTTTGTGATGCCAACTTCACAGCAGCACGTAACTTTTGAATTACATGCTAGAGACATGCATCAAAGCACTCAACAAATGTTTATGGGAGTTGACTACAGTACAGCTGACATCATGCAGGTTGCCACCCATATCCTAAAAAGCTCACGCACAGCTTTATCTCATTCTTATGCAATAAAGCACTTGTGATCCTTAGAAGAAGAAAAAAAAGAGTTTAAAACAATACCAAGACAGGGATAGATTGTGGGTCATAAGTAAACTTTCATTTTACCATTATTGATGGGTTGCAATAGCACCCAACGAACAGGTCAAGAGACAATCAGTTTGACTGCTATTTTTTATTCCTTTTTTATTCAAGTCTACTGACAAATGGCACCATTTGGTGGGTGTCTAATGCATAAAACTTAATGCTTACGCTTCTTCCTCCAACAGGAAACAACTTTAATTACTCAATTGTGCCTTTCATTCAAGTGTGAAAAACAGCAATTTAAGCCCAATTGTCAAATAGAACCCAAAACAAAGATTAATTTATATATTAAAGATTAAATAAGGATTAATTAATAAAAATATTTTCTACATACGTATGACGCCATTATATATTCTTCTTCTTCTTTAATATGTTTTTAAGCCCAATTGTCAAATAGAACCCAAAACAAGATTGATTTATATATTAAAGATTAAATAAGGATTAATTAATAAGAATATTTTTTACATACGTATGACGCCATTATATATTCTTCTTCTTTAATAATATGTTCGACTTATTTTGTAAACAGCAGAAATAAAATAATTATTTCTTTAAAAATTGTGCAAAGCAATATTGGTTGATTTACAGTAATATCATTGTACCATCATGCTGTCTAGGTAGGCAGCTAACGTTAGGTAGGTTTTGAGAGACAGCCAAAATCTCTGCTTTGACGGTTTGATCCACATCTGTATTCAGCTAAAAATACAATCACAAAGGAACTCTGTAACAACTTAACAATGCTCAACAAACGAGTGACTTTCACGGCACCAGAATGTAAAAAAAAACATAACGTTACCATTGTGTCTTTATTTTTCATTACGCGAACTACTACTGGGACTGAAGCAATCAGCATACTTTTTATTTTGCCAAGTAAAACAGGCAATATAAACAAACGCCAACAGTAAGACACGTTTGTGAGATACAGGAGAAAACTTTTTTCTTTTTCGTCAAACTTACCATGTGCCGCGACTCGTCTGTCGGAGAGCTTTTACTTTTCCAGGCCAGCATCGGAAAAGACTTCAGTTTTAGAGATTGTCATATCCTGTGCTTTTTGTCGTGGGTCGAATGAGCACGTCTGCGGTATCGTCTTGGTTGTGACTTCGTCGATCTATCGGTTACAGACTGGCCACAGAAGATGAAGCGATAAAACGCCACCGCAAGCAGCACAGTCTCGTCTAGAGTTTCACTCACTGAAGAAGATAATCCGCGCCCACCAGCGTCTAGACGCGGCGAGCGTCAACAGTGCCCTCTAGCGGCTAACATTTAACACTACAGACCATTTAAATTCATGGGGGGGGGGAATTCTGAAAATTCTTAGGAAAATTCTGACCTTTTCCTAAGTGCATCCGAATATGTAAATGTTTTTATTTTTAAATTAAACAAATAAATAAACAATAGCTTTTATACTGTCGCTGTACTGAAGTCAAAATTTTTGTCTGAAAAATATTTCGTTTATAATAAAGGAAAGGCATGCCTAAGGACAAGTCTAGAGTGAGAAATAACTATGTGTGTAACCATAACAAATATTCTTGTTTTGACTGCTTGAACAGCCCTGTAGGGCCTTTACAGATGCACATTCACAAAGAAAGATGGTCATTTTTTTTTATTTATGCACCATGTTCTTGTAGTATTTGTGTATTTACAATATTTAGAAAAATCTATAATAAAAATAGCCTAATAATAAAAGAAAGTTTTGACGTGTGTCAGTGGGTTCTACTCTGAAAAGAAAGATTTCCAGTTCAAATCAATTTTATTTATATAGTGTTTCAAATTTTTTCACTGTTAAAAATGAAGGCTGCAAACAACAGAATAAATATAATCATGATTAATCTTGTACTTTCTCATCAGTCTTTAGAAACCGGAATAAAACAGTAATAATATATGGTCATTTTTTTTATTTATGCACCATGTTCTTGTAGTATTTGTGTATTTACAACATTTAGAAAAATCTATAATAAAAATAGCCTAATAATAAAAGAAAGTTTTGACGTGTGTCAGTGGGTTCTACTCTGAAAAGAAAGATTTCCAGTTCAAATCTTGAATTAACTTTAAAAGCCTTTAAATCTTCTCATATTTTCTATATGGGCTCCCTTTATGGGCCGCTGTATTATTTCACTGGAATCATATTTTGGGTTTTCAAAATGTGAGGTATCAAATTAATCACAACTACTTTATTAATATATTCATGTTAACATATAAACGCATGATAATCTTATTAATTCTACAATTTAATGTTGAAAGTCATATAACTTGAGCTTAAATTACATCTGTAATGGTAAACGTTTACAAAAATTAAGAAATAAAAAATCCCCAAAGATGCATGTAATATTATTTGTATTAATATTATTACTGGTTCATGGTTTTCAGATGGATTTAGGTCACAAAGAAAACCTTTGCTTGCGAAATTTGAGTTCTTAACAAAGCTTTTTATGTTTTTCTGCTCTATGCAGATTTTCATAACTTGAAGAAGTGAAACTAAAGAACAAAGAGAGTATAGGAAGAAAAAGAGGACGGTGATGATTATGCAGGAACTGGTTTATATATATTTTTTCTTTTAAATATAAACTTAAAACAACCTCTAATTTGTTCATTATGAATGAGTTTAGATGTTTAAAAGTGCAGATTTTTTTATCCACTAGATGGCAGTACAATAAAACAAAAACAATTGTCTTCAAGAAGCCCACATTTCAATGAAGAGAGCAAAACAGTCATTTTATATTCACAAATATTATTAATTGTAACACAAACATTAGAAAGTATATGAAGTGCATCTACAGCAATGGCTAACTAATAATATCTATACAGATGTCAATTCAAACCCTGTAAATGTTTCAAAGATGAAAACACTTGGTTTGTTTCCTTTAGAAATGGTTATTGAGTACTACAGAGTGCTGTAATATTACTTGTAAGTGCTTTGGATGCTGTCTGCTGAGTTTGCATCCCCTGTTTCTGGTTGTAGGGCAGAGGTGTCAAGGTGTAACATTTAAGAAGCTCAGAGGCTTATTGGATATGGGTCAGCACATCTCTCTCACCCTCCTCCCGCTCTCTCACTCTCACTGCACATATCACCAGAAAATCTCTACAGTAACCTGAAGGCAAATGTACACGGGCCTGCACCCATGCCCAGCTGCATTAAGCTCCTCAAGCACATCAGAAATCCCAAAAGTCATGTGATCCATCAGAAAGTCAAGATTTATGCAACCATCTAAAGTTTTAATAGCCAGCAAATGGGATGCAATGCAAATGTGAATCAAACAGTAAAACTGTTTGAGCAAAAGAAAAATGATATTTATCATTACCTGGGCTCGTATTTCTCTGTAAACCATAAACATTGTGCTAATAGTCCAAATTAGCTCAGAGAGACATCAGACAAGCTCTCAAAACACAAGGTTTAACTGACACAGGCAAATGTAAGAGAACTCTAGGGATCGTCCAAGGGAGCGCCCTTCGTTAACTTTAATTATACCCAATACACCTTGTGCAAATTCAATTGAAGTGGGCCTATCACAGCTACACCAAACAAATGCCTAATTACACTGCATAAAGGCTCATGCACAAAGGGGTCTCCATGGCGAGGTGGAAATAAGCTGCTGAGACCTTGCTCGACCTTAAATAAGAACCTGAAGATGAGAGCTCAAAAACATAAAGCATAAAAATAATAGTAAAATGTAGGGTATTTTCTTTCATTTTTGAATTAAACGTCATTTTGATATTTTTGTGGAGGTTTTAATTGACTGGAGACTGTAATTCTTGAAATATATGATATGTTGGCATAAGTAGCTTGGTTTGTATATGTGTGTGTGTGTGTGTGTGTGTATATAGATAGATAGATAGATGTGTATATATATACATATATATGATATTTTATTTTTTATTCAAATAAATTATTTAACTCTATTGAAATGAGTTCATATTAATTTCTGAATACATACAAATAATCTTTAAAAACATGTTTGAAGATGTATATGAAAACGTATTTTACTTATGCAAATAATTAATTAAACAAACAAACAAACAAACAATCAAGAGATCTCTCAACAACACTGTGTCAAGTTGTGTGTGTGTACACAGTATATATATATATATAAACTTTGTTCAGGTCAAAAAAGTAACCCTATTTATTATTTGACTGAGTTTGTGTTAAACACTTTCAAAAATCCAAACAAACAAAAACAATACAATACGCATTTCTAAGTGCTTTACACTAAATTTCTCTATTTTATCTCCTAGAACATAAAATTAAATATAAATGAATATAAAATATAATAAAAAAAACAGTTCATTTAATGGTGAAAATTAATTACTGTATGGCATTATCTGATTGGTTCATTGCATTTAATTACTCTTCTTGGCCCATCAAGATGTCTTCCTAATGTGCAATTTACGCTTGTGATGACTGTACACCATAACGCGCATTAACATTATTTTATATTTCCTTCGTTTGTCTAAAAAGTAACTAGTTGCTTTCACTGCTAGCTCAGTCAGTAAAGGTGGGTCTGAAGCGTTAACGTATGTCTGCAATCCTCTTATTTTGTCCCTGACCAAGTATGGATTACATTCATCCGCGGGTCACTTTCAAAGGACTTTCATTGAATTGAGAAACATCTAGGCCTCTAGATAATTTCGAGTGGATATATTTAAAACGCAAATCGCTTTTTTATTTGATTTGATTATAACGATGCATTTAATTATTTTCAAGCTCGTCAAGGATTTCAGAAAGTGCGATGTAAAGGAAATTAGGTAAAAAATTTAACCCATATTGACAACACTATCGAGTAGCTGTACTGCAATATTCATAACAGTGAAGCTGGAAAATGTTACTGAACGTTAGGTGTGAATTGTGAAGGTGCAAAAGGGCACCTGGATTGATGACTGCAGGCATTAAGTAGCTCTCCAGGGTGCTGAAGTTGAATCTCTCAACGCCACTGACGAGCCTCATCAAACTCTTGTTTGTGAGCTGAGATCTTCTCAACATTTGTTTATGCCCACGGCGCGACTGATGCTGGAAAACCGTCGTGAAAGATGACCGTCTAACCATATGAAGGATATAAATCTACGTTATTAAAGAAAACACTGGAGGAAAGAGGTAAAACTTTGTGGAGATGTTTTCATGCATCAAGAGGCCCATATAAATAATGGTAAGTTCAGTTTCTCAATTGCATTTTATGTAGCAATGTGTTCCAGATTGTTTACTAGCATAAATATAAGTGCAGAAAAATTTGCAGTTATTTATTTATTTATTCCCTTTTTGCATTTGTAATGCATCAAAAAATTTGGTAGTGAAACAATTGTCACTCAGTAAATTTCACAAATAATTACGAAGAAATGACAAGTAGCACATTGAATTAAACATGAAATTTAAATGTAGAAAGACTAAAGTATTATTTTCTTGCAAAATCACTCCAATAACACTCCAATATTTTATTTTCAACTTGAAAAAATCATTCAGTTAATAATATGATAATACTGTGTATGAAATGTTTTAATTATTAGCTCAAAATAAATATTTTCCCCTTGTCACAAAAATTTAATGTAATTTCTACATCCACTGTGTCTAATCTTTTAGATAGAATCGTATAGTCGAGTTTCAACTCTAATAAAATTTCAAATGAACTGCAGATTGTCAATTTCGAACTACTTTGATCAACTTTGGTGAGATGAAATGATTACACTGTACATAAAATATGCAACCTAGCTGTGTATATAACAGATAATCCTATATTATTGAATATTTGGCCTTGAAAACTGATAAACAGGTGCCATGACTTCAGTTCATGCTGTTTTCTAGGTGTCTCTTTGCAACATCCATCTCTCATAACGGCTTCTGACGGAGGACAATGCAACATATTCACCTCCCATTCGGAGGTGATTTAAGGGAGTTATCCAGTTACCCCTGCTGCCCTGTCCTCCGGAGCAGACACAGCCTCTCTACGCTCCCATTTTACAGCATTACACTATGGATTATTCTTGGTGTTTTGACGTTTCCATGCTGTGTCAAATGCCTGATTTTCAAAGTAGGCGTCCTGGGGCCTTGGAACTGTGACCCTTATTATGCGAAATCACTTCCTGCCATTGCGTCCAGACTGGCTGTTGGCCGCATAAACGAGGATTTTAGTTTAGACCTGGGCTGTACGATGGACTTCGTCATCCTTCAAGAGGCTTGCGAGACATCCAAAGCCTTGACCTCATTTGTACAGTATGAGAACGCGGTTGATGCGTTTGTAGGCCTTACAAATCCAGGATACTGCAATGCTGCGGCGCTCATGGGCAAGAATTGGGACAAGTCTATGTTTTCATGGGCGTGCATTAACTATGAGTTAGACCGGGTCCAGGGCTACCCAACATTTGCTCGAACTTTACCATCCCCGACACGGGTGCTCTTCAGTGTACTTAGGTTTTTCAGCTTGGCTAACATAGCCATCGTGTCTTCTAATGAGGATATATGGATCGACACCGCTGCCAAATTGGCTAGTGCTCTCAGAAACCAGGGGCTTCCTGTTGGCATCGTTGTGTCCATGGGGAATAATGACACCATGCTGGAGAACACATTGCTGAGCATACGAAACGCAGGGGAGATCAAAGGTAAAGTGTTTTGGACACATCGATTTGCAGTATCTGCATAAACATTCCTTTTATGTTTAGAGGCATTAAGAGATTTTTGCTCCAGTAAATATTTCTCAGTATTTTTTAAGGTCAGTTTCTGTACAGATTTTTTTAAGATGACAATTTTAACCAGTAAAACAAAAGGTATCATACAGTATAAATCATAAACAATTGTTTTACTTTTAACCAATAAATATTAATAAATTAGATATATTTAACAATTAAAACGTATGATAACTTTCCTTTCACTTTAAAATTATAATTCTATTATTTATAATTATACAGTATATAATGAATTAATTTATAATTAAATTATTTTTTATAATTTATATATTATAATTACACGTTACTATATATATTCTACTATATTTAAATATTATAATAAAAGTTATTATAATAAACACTAATATAGTTACAGTTCTTTTCAAATGATTATATACTTTGAATGTTTGTCAATGTGTTTTTCTCAGTATTTCTGAAAGTTAGACCTTGAAGGCTTTTTAAGATTACTCTACAAAACAATTTAACAGGAGACAGAAAAAATGTAAAAGGCAACATATCAAAGCACAAGCCATTGTTTTAACCAATTAATATAATGATTAATAAATTGGATACATTTAAAATGTAAGAAACATGACAACTCTCCCTCGTCAACCTTTAATTATATATATATATATGTGTGTATATATACTTAATATATTATACAATATTTAGAATTATTATCATACTAATATATTTATACTTTTTTAAAGAGAGAGAAAATTTAAAACCAACATACAAAAACCACTGCTATAAAAAAAAAAGCAGGCATAATTGGACTCAAAATCCTGTAATAGATCATATATATATTATGATTAAACAGATGGCAGCTGAAAGTTTGCTTTATCTCTCATCACTTCACTTTCTTTTGCTACAATGGTCAAAAGGAGGTTTATCTTTAACAAACTATACCAAAAAAAAAAAAAAAACTGTGAGTAAATGCATGCACTACATTTGTTGCTCAATTAAAGATATTTATGTGAAACTAAGGTTTCTAAAATGTTAAACAACGTTTGTTCAAAGGTTTATTCAATTCATTCAACTGTCACACACATTTCTAATCATGGTCCTTTTTAAAAATGCATTTTTGCATTTAGGTACAAAATACAGTATCTTTTCTAAATTATGATTCAACACAAATGAATTGATTTTTCATGTTTCAGTCATCATTATGTGCATGCACTCAGCGCTCATTGGAGGAGAGCAACAAACGTCATTCCTGATCAAGGCCTATGACATGGGATTGACGAGGGGTCAGTATGTGTTTATACCATACGACACCCTCCTGTACAGCCTGCCCTACACCAACACCACCTACTTCCCACTGCAAAACAACACCAAACTGCGCAAAGCCTACGACGCTGTACTCACCATCACCGTAGAGTCAGACCTGATGTCATTCAACGAAGCGTACAACATGGCCAAACGATTCGGAGAACTGATGCTGTCACAAGAGCCAGAGCAGGTGTGCACGGTGCACTTTGAAACATTTATGAGTCTTATTTGTACACGTGCATAAAACATTACATTAAAACGTTCTGCTACATTTCAGGTCTCTCCGCTCTTTGGTACAATCTACAACAGTTTGTACCTCCTTGCCAAGTCCATGCACAACGCCAGAAGAGCTGGTAAGTGGTTCTCCGGGTCCAACCTGGCCTCCTTCACGAGGAACATCACATTTTCAGGGTTCAACCAGAACATCCGCATGGACGCCCAAGGGAACGGGCAGACCGACTACGTGATCTTAGACACTGATGGCTGGGGATCTGAACTGTATCGTTGCTTTTATGTGAACCTGACTTTAGATAAGGTGCTGTTCGCCGGCACGTACATTCATTTCCCTGCAGCTTCACCTCCACCTTCAGACTCCAGCTGCTGGTTTGACCCCAATGCCATCTGCGCAGGAGGTACAACAAACCCACACAAAATCATGCTCAATGAGAAACAGATATTTGACTTTTAATGGTTTTATTTTTTCAGCTTAAAGGTGCTGTATGTAGGATTGACAACTAGTGGTTGAACTAGGTATTGCAGTCCAAATTCAAAATATCGGAGAGGGTTTTTTTCACCCGGCCCCTCCTTCTCAGACTTGACGCAGACACCAACAGGAACGAGCGCACTTCATGATGAATGAAATGAAATACGCTGTATTTTGTAACGGGCAACCAGGCTGCCGAAATACAATTGGGTAAACTGGCAGTGGGCGGGTTTCACAAACCAAAACAAAGACCTACATTCTGGCCTGGAACGCACATTTTCAAAGGAGAATAACTGACTGTAGCATTGTTTTTAAGTATGTTAACTTAGCATGTTTTTTTAAATATCTGCAAACATATTATGGTATTTTTATGCTTTAGTAGAGTCAAAAACTTACATACAGCACCTTTAAAT